CTCTCTCTCTAACACACACACACACACACACACACACACACACACACACACACACACACACACTCTCTCTCACACACAGACACACACACTCTTTCTCTCTCACACACAGACACACAACCACTCTCTCTCTCACACAGACACACACCGATGATGATGAATGATCAAGAGAAGAGAGAGAGGGCGATCAAGAGAAGAGAGAGAGGGTGATCAAGAGAAGAGAGAGAGAAGAGAGAGAGTAATGTAACCTCCTTGTAATGTATAACTCCTATGAAAATGTTCAAAATGTGCTCAAACTTCACATGTGTGCTAACAGTCCAGCCGTGAAGACATCTACGGGACAGTTTTGAGATTTCTTCAAATGCCGTTGCCATGGCGACACATTGCTCACCATGAGTGAAAATGCTCCAAACGGCCCAAAACTTCACAGGTTTGGTAACGATGCAGCCATCAACGCATCTAAGCGTATTATGGGATGTCATCAAATGCTGTTGGCATGGCGAAACAGATCATTCGCCATCAAGTTAGTTCAAAAGTTTGCAGTTCAAATATTCTGCTGCTTTTCCGAGCCTTTTTACTTTGTTTTCTTCTCTCATCACACATTCAAGCCCCCAGTGTTCATGTATCATTTCAATCTAAATTATTCACTTTCTTCTTCCACATTACATTTCAGCATAGCAGTTTAGCGTCAGTTTTTGAGCATAAAGCATTCCCACTAGCAATTTCTTCAGGAATTGCATTCTCTAGTTAATGATAAAACTCTACAACAGAGCCTCTGTAATGATGAGCCACAGCTTGTGCTAGTATGAGTGTATAAACAGGTCCTTTTTAAAATGTAGCAGCCCCAGCACAGCTGTTACAGGTTTAGCGTTTAACAAGCAAACCAACTCCACCCAGCAGCAGGCTGATCAAACAAGAGCTCTGGATTTCTATTGAATTGTGATATATTTATCTAAGAATAAATTGCAAATCCTAACTTCAAATTGTAGTATCACTCACAGCTGATATAGCCAATATGTGGCAAACAAGAAAACAGACATGGATATCACTTACATACATCGGCTTCATGCTTATCCAGGTATATTAAAGGCCTTACACACTGGCCTTGTTTTATTTTGACGCTATCAAACTCCCATTGAACCTTCCTTTTTAATGGCATGTCATTTGAACAAATAAACAAGAAAACCACGATGTCAAAAACAAGTGACACTAATAACAGTGATTCATTGATCATTTAATTTAAAAATATTGCCTATCTAGTTATTACAGTAGGCCACATTCCTGAGCCAGTGCTACACAAGGATGCCCTTTCGGAAAGATTCAAGATTCAAGGCTTTTATTTTCATGTGTAATGCAGCCTTTATTGAAGGAACAGTTCAACCAACATACAAAATACATATCATGCACCAACCGCCTCTTATGTTTTATTAGCATATGTTGTTTATTTCGATGTCACAGCTAATACAAACCAAAAGTGACAGATACTCCTCCTCAATGGAAGGCTACAGTAATGACACTCTGGAGCAGAAGCCACACATAACTCATTACTGCACAGTGTAGTCAAACTGAAAGCATATGGTGACACATGGGAGAATACCAGTGGGATAATGGGCACCACATGTTCTTTGTTTATTGATATGCAAATCACATAGTTATGCGGGATCCTACAATTTTCACAAATGTACCTACATGTCATTCGGATGTGGTGGAAAAAGCCAAGGTGAGGTGGGATGGGCTTTTTGGTATTTGGATGAAAAGCAGAATTCATAGTCCTTTTTGTATTTGTTATATGTTATATTTCTGGTTTTCCAAGTATCGATATAGATATCTTTATAAAGAATAAATCTATGATAATCCAATTCATGTAAAATACTAAGTTACTGTGCTGTGACCTGGGCCAAAGCTAACTGGGATGTTATCAATAATTTAATTTAAGTTACTGAAACAAATATTGTGACTAAAACAAATGCTAAGAAATTAGATACAAAAACAGAGTTTGGCTGCATAATTAATGTATTTATTGCCCCAAACTTATTTTAATGCTCAGTATCTTGGGCCAAAGTAACTAAAAAAGTAACCCAAATAAAATTTGTCTAGAACCGCCACTGTATTATACAGATTTTAGACAAGAACAGAGACTTTCAGAGATTTACAGTGCACATCTTTTAACATTTCCTGAACCCAATTGAAAGTGTTTTATAGATAAAAACCACAAACATACCTGTGTTGTTCAGATCGAGGTGTCCACTTTTCACTCTGAGTTCTGCTTTGTTGAGTGGGTTGATGCCGATGATCAAGTCGTGTTTTACGGTCAGCGCCACCCACCTGAAGATAATCACTGGATCCTGAGGTGTGAATCAGTGTTCAGAATCACAGACGAGGCTATCTCTGCCTGCCGCTGATGTTGTTTCATTACCACTCACGCTCTGGTGTGAACAGAAAACTCGCTTCCCTCTGACTCAGACTGATTGCAGGTGGAAACAGTCTGAATGGCTGCAGATACAAAAGCTCAAAATCACGTCATGTCAAACCCTCCTGTTGTGTCTCAAAGACGTGATTGTGGCACTGATCTATCCCTGGGTCATTTTTGTGATGTGGGCAAAACTTTTTCTCTTAACACCAAATATCAAGTGTTGTGTGTGTGAAGCCACAGCTTGATAAAGGTTCTACTTTAAAAAGCCAGACTGTTGTCTTTTGGTGACATATTATTTCATTACAGCAAACATAACAGCTTTTTGAAAAACACTGATTTGTTAGTTTGAGGAAAGGAATAAAGGCAAACTGTTAAATAAGTGAAACCATTTTTATATTTCCAATGCTTTTAAGCCAATGGCACATTTAGAGACTCATCAGGCTTGGTTATAAGTCTATATTATGTCATCTAAATCTTAAAATTGTGCATCCCGAAAACAGAAAAATACGTTTTTTTTTTCAAGGTTTTGTTCAAAGATGTCGGTGGAGAAAAAGGATAATGAAAGGTTGGAGCAGTGTTTCTGTGAGTTTCTGTGTGTCCTATTTGTATAAAAAAAACAGCTTTCAATAGAATAGAGTATATAGAGAAATAAAGAAGTTGCACAACAGCACAAAACCACTTTGGTAGAGTTCACTTTAATAATCATGGTCAACATCTGAAACAGTCATCCTCTTCATTTCAGCCAAAATTACAATTACAATCTCCATCAAAACCAAATATCTTCATTCTATCGGTAAAACATCATCATCAACAGTTGTTCTAGCCATCTGCAGCAGCATCGTGCCAGTGGTTGAATAAATGAGTAAGTAAATAACAAAACACTTGAGGCCACCCTAACAAAATGAGGTATATTACAGTCAATGCATTGTCACCTATCAATAACGGTTTTAACTTAATTTGCAGGTGAAGCAGCACATTCTTAAACACTCAACAAATAAAGTGTCGTCATAAATTACATGTACGTATATCAAAAAGACACAAAAATACTCTTCAAGTTGTCATTTATCTAANCACCATATGCCGTTTCCATGTAAACGCATCCCTCGCCATAAAACACGATGTTGTCGTAACGCCTATGAAAAGGGTCAAAACAGCACCAGACTTCAGATTATCTGAAGTCTGGTGCTGTTTTGACCCTTTTCATAGGCGTTACGACAACATCGTGTTTTATGGCGAGGGATGCGTTTACATGGAAACGGCATATGGTGAGATGTCAGATTTGACGTAGAGCTGTTGAGGCATGGAGAGGTGATATACAGGTGAAGATTGTGGGACGACCGGACCGTGTCCATTGGAGTTACAGCAACATCGTGTTTTATGGCGAGGGATGCGTTTCCATGGAAACGGCATATGACACCCCATAATTGACGTAGATTGTAGAACTTTTGAGGGCAGGACCATTAACCATTATCTGAA